AAAAATAAAATTTGAAAACAAAATCAAATTTTCTAATAAACCCTTAACTTAATTTTCAAACACGTATTAGAAAATTACCTCGATATCCATTTTAATAATGAGGCTGATTTCACATTTTAAACCAACAAAATAATAAATATATCAACACCGAACTCAAAAAACTAAATATTGTTATATTATACACAAAGAAGTACTAAAAACTAAATGGCATTAAAAATGTTTTAAGCTAACAACAAGATTTTAAAATTAGCATTTGTGAATTTTATTTTTATTATTAATTCTCAATTTTTATTTATGATACATAACTATTTCTAACAATATAAGATTTTTTAAATTAAATAACTATTCAAAAATTATAATTATTATTTTTTAGGTTTTAACAAATGTATTAGTTAAATCTAAAAATGTAGAACATTAAAATGTTTATAATAAGAAAACGTTCATACAATAAACTGAAATAATCATATTATTTTATTACAAATAGAAATAAACAATTTCAGTTCATGTGATATCAGCTATGGGTTGATCAGTTTGAAATCTCATCGCCTCGATGGAATAATATTTTAGAGTAAGCTTTAACGGATATAATAATGTATAGGTTTCATCAGTATAAACCATCTTGGGTTACTTGGACTCTTTTCCCCCACAATTCCAACAAAAATATCAGAGTCGTGAGCGACTATAGCTATAATAATTTACTCGTTGAAAACGTTGCCCTCGCTTCTGCAGCTCCTCCGCATGCTGCTCTGCTCACGCCCATATTCGCAGGAATGCAGGATATGTGGTATATATGTATGTATATATATATAACGTCGACAGTGTGTGGATGTGACCCACAATAATAATATATAACAATAATAGGTCACCCACTACCCAGCTCGCAACTCTTCCCTTGGCAATTGACATAGAAAAGAGAGCCCTCCGGCGGTTATATACAATTTCGTTCCGGGGCTGCCCATTGTCTTAAAAGTCGAGTGTTACCCGAGTCCGGGGGCTAAGTATCGTTTTTCTTTATGCCCTCCACATTTTTTTCCTCTTGCTCTATTGTGCGCACTTTGCGCACACCCTGTGCATTGTTGAAAACGTCACGAGTGTATGTGTATGGCTGTCGCCAGGTCGAACGAGAGGGTATAATTTCATTATAACACAGATCCTTCTGGTCCGCGGGGTCGAGAGCCCTTCGGTCTGCCGACCCCATGTAAAACTCTGAACTACAAACACCGCCGCCCAGACTTGTAAATCCTATCTAAGATCTTTGCCAATACGCAGCTACTTTTTTTTCTTTGGTTCTCCGACACCACGACCACTACGTGCGTTAATATTATTGCTAAGGCGAAACTGTCTCGTTGAGACATCAAAGGACGCACCGCCACCGCCGTCACCTTCACCACAGACGACGTTATCGCGACCATGTTTTATTTTATTATATACTTTTCCGTCATTGTTTCACATCACGGTTCGATTATCAGGGTATCTACAGACATTGTTTTATATATTTTTTTCTAATTTCAAACAAACAACTCGAGATAACGCACCGTGGCCAAACAAACAAATCTTATTGGCTTATTCACTGTTTAATGTCTAGTGTAGAGTATAAAAGAAACTGGATATTTATATACAATATAATTGCCGAGTTTAAAATATAAGAATATCTAAAATAATTATACATTAAGAAATATAACAATTATTTTGTAATAGATACTAAAATGACTATTCCACAAAATTATTAAACAAATGTTGAAATTTCAGAACTGAAGTAAAAGTTTATATTATTTTGTTCGACGTTTTAATAAATGAATAAATGAATTAAAATAATACAATTTATTTAAGAAAAACAAATTATATTTTAAACTCTATGCTAAAAATAAATAACGAGTATTGTTTAGGATTATTAAAAATGCAATATTTGTACATATGTAAAATGAAAAAAAAACTGTTACTAATGGCTTTTGTAGCCGATGTATTTTAAGAACAATAAAAAAAAAAATGCAATATTATATGTAAGTTACGAAAATATAAAATTATATTTATGCACAAGTTAACAGTATAAATATGTAATTATAATATTGCAAATTTATGTAGCACTAATGGTCAAGTCGTTAAAGGAACTAAAGATAAATTAAAATGTATGCGTATATATATTATTTAAAATAATGAAGAATAAGTAATGAGTAACACGAATTATTAACTCACATTAAAAATATGTGGAAAGCGACATGAAAAAATTTGAATTTCTATTTTAAAAATATTCGGTTAGTATTTAAATTCGATAAGTCTCGTATTTTATATATTACAAAATTCAAAGGCTTAAATTTAATTTAATAGTTCAACTCAGTATTTAGTTAGAGTTATAGTCAATGTAAAAGCTAAAATTCGATGAAAGTTCCACGGTGCACTTGTACACTTTCTAACAAGTAACAAGTCAATTTTCCCAAACTAACAAGGGTTCTAAACAAATGACCCATAATCAAGTACTAAGCGAACTAATGCACACTAAAAGACTTTCATATACCATGAATTAAAACCGTTACTATACTTCGCAGGATTGTAAAATCTAAGTTTCACTGCTAATTCGTTTTGTTTGAAGAATGAAATCACTTTAAATAAATCGAAGTCTAAACTCTGCTTATTCCGGGATAAAAATGCTCTCATATAAAATAATTGAATATATTTTTAGTAAGTATGAAAATATTAATTTTTATATTTTCATAAGAGCTCTAATTTCTACTCATATTAATCAGTCCTAGAAATATGTGCGATAGTGAACAGTGGTGTGCGCAAATAATTGATAAATTTCTTAACAAAATTATACCACGTGCGTGAATTTAATATTATGAACAAAAGATTTTAAAAACGAAGTTGAATAATATATTATTGCCGATTTTAATCAAGCTACGGTCAATGTTTCATCCGAAAAAATAATTTAGTTTGAAAACTTTTTTCAAATTAACTTTTTGTTAATAAAACATTATGGAAATATAAATATAACAATTTCTCAGAAGTGGTAACGAATCATTATAGTTATGCTTATGATAAAAGCAATTATAATTTTATTATTTTTTTTTTTTGTAATAATTGTATTATAATTGTTCAGCTGAAGTACTTTTAATCGATTATTAAAATACCATTTTTTCACTCTACAAAAGATAAGTTTAAAATATATAAGATAGAAAAAACATTTGCTTTCGGAAATTTAAAATATTATCTCAAACTTCGAAAACCTTGAAGTATTTTAATGATAAATTTATAACATTATATATGTTTGTATTTTAATTATTGTTATTATTATTTTTTTTTTGAAAATTTAAAAACCTTTAATTGTTGATACGATCAATGAAAAATTGTGTCGAGACTGGAAATTCGTCCAAATGTACCTACGTCAAATGAAATAGAATTACATTTAGAACCAAAATACAGTCACTGCTAGTTTTGAGAACTTTGGAAGGTCTGAGTGCTCTAAATTAAGTCATACTACACCTCTTGTTATCTCACGGAAACTTAATTAAGTGTTCGTTGCACATGCGTATCTTCCTTTTGATGTCGTTTCTCGGATTCAAAATCCTTATCAGTACATACGCCCAATCGTCTCGAATTCCAGAACCAACGCACGTCTCTACGTTTTGATCAGGTGAAAAGTTTCATGTGGTCCACACCCACATTATAGAAGTATAATATTATATACCACACGCGGCACACGTACACAACTGTCAACAATTTTCTCGTACCCATAGTTAATTCATTCTGATAAATACACAGACCGGTATTTACTGCACTGCAGTTATACTACCTTTCGTATTCCGAATAATATTCGGCCATCTAGGGCGACAAATGTTTGAACTCGAGCTTTAACTAAAAAAATATTACAATACAAATTATATTATCGATGTATAGAACCATAAATAACTATTTATTTGATTCTGAACCGACGTTAATAACGTGACAAATGTTATATCATATATTACGGTGGTACGACGACACATAGTTTAAATGATTACACTCATTTCAGCCGTAATTATTTTTCAACTTATGTGTAGTTGATTTAAAATTTGTAGAATACACGTAATTTTATAAAATATACTATAACAAATTGGAAGCAGACATTTGGTTAAAACTTTATTTCCCTACCGTAATTTGACTCCATAATAAACAAATTAGTTTAGGACTTAATAATATTTAAAGATTTTGAAAATAAATTTATACAAGTAAATCTGATCTAAAAATATACGTTATGTGATTTGTTGGGAGTTATGTGGTAATAATAAACATATTATTATATAAAAAAGTGAGGTACAGACGTTGGAGAGTGGGCGGGCGGGCGCTTTTACACTTTACAGAACGCTGAACATTTTAAGACCCTAAGGTTTAAAATCAAATTTAGTTCCCATTAACTTCGAGCTCTACGGGAGTATAATAATAATATTCCTATCGACCATATAATATAATAGCAACATTTTTTAGGAAAACGGGTTTGTGAAACCAAGTTTGGTTAATTCCGAAGGGTACCAGAAATATCGTTATGTCGTCCATTTATTATGCCGCCGGTTGAATAACCCTACAAAAACCACTAATTGCAAGTCATACTTGTCCCGTTTTAATAAATTTACTGCGTGTTTAATACGTTTTTAACACATAGATCGTCCGCAATACAGAATAGATAAATGAGTGTTATGTTTGTTTGTACACGGGGCACATACGAATGAAATAAATTAATAGCGACGGGGAGGAGGAGTAATTTGAATCCATAAATTATTAGCAACAGGGAGTAAATGGGTCGACATGGGTAAAAAAAATATATATATATATACAAAAACATTACAGACAGGAGACGCGTAGTATAAATTTGTATTTTTTTATTATTATTGTAATAATTGTCGTAATAAACATTCACAATCTATTAATTTAATTAAAACAACACAACGACAGAACGACGAAGACAATTAACTGCGTTAAAAAACAAAATATAACGTTAAATTCCAGTAATAACGTTCAAAACTACTCACCGACGGGACTCTCCTGGTTCCAATACGAATCGTCCAGCGTATAGTCAGCTTCTGGAACATAAATAACATAAGCCATGAATTAGTCACAATATCTATTATAATACGGTGCACCTGGTATATTATGTAATAATATCGACTATCGCAATAGTGAATGATGGAAATGTCAAAAAAAAAAAATAGTCATAATGCCATCGAAACAAAAGGTGTTATCGAATTTTTTCGCTCATGCATTTTTGGTAACACACTCCTGAGGGTGTAAAAGAAAAGAAATTGTGTCCTAACGTTTCGCAGCATGCATGAATATTATTCAGTATTCAAAGAGCAAAAACGAGGATTTATATTTGTACAGGTACAGGGAAATAGTTTATGAATAATTTATGAATACCTGTTTCCCGGGCATTCTTAAAATATTAGTGTAACGGGGAAAAAAACCATAAAACCCGGAGGAAATCTACAATAAGCATAATATATAAAATATAGAACTATGATCGGGAAGTGCGAAATACAAGACGCTCGTGGCTTGGATGAATTAAATATTCTTCTAAAGCGATAAAATATTCATAATGTTGTACACCTACGCTAAACAAATTGCAAATTGCGATATGTTTTTTAAAACGTGGCAGCCTGTGTGCGTTTTGCGTACATATAGATACCTACGTCATAAGTACATTATAATATTATTCTATAACCCTTAAATTTCGATAAAATAATCTAGAATTCAAGCCAAATCGTAAGTAGCGCTAGTTATTCAGCAGAGGTATTACAATAAATTCTTTGCCCGAAAAATTATATTTGGTCGGTTTAATATAGGTAGGTATCTGTTCTAAACAACAATGGTAACGCGTCGCATAAATACATAATTCATAACAATGCATAATAATATAATGATGGAGTGGCGGTGAAATAAACTATACATTTCGTTGACGTTTTATTTCGTACTACAAATTAAAATACTGAAAATCGTCGGTATAACGCTTTCTTCTTAAACAACATTTATAATATACTTTAAAATATAATATAAACAGTTGTAAGAAACGGAATATATATATAGAATCATAAAGTTGTAAGTTATAACCAACGACCAACGTCATAATATAATGTGTAGGCTAACAAATGTATATATTACATATTGCATAAGATTACATATAAGTTATAACAAATTCTATGAAATTATGTAGGTACCTAATTAAAAATGGGTATAATGAGTAATGATGCACAATATCAATATACGACTTCATAAATTTAAAATAACTAGGATAATTAGTAAGTTATAGTAGGTACTAAATCAGAAACGTTTAGAAAACCAAAAGTAGTGTTATAAACAATAGAATATATTTCTATTTATTTAGTTCAATTCGTTGAACACAATGTACTAAATGTGTTTAATGTGTAATGATTTTACCATCAATATTTGAATGATTTCAATGACCAAATCACGCATTACAGGAAATACATTCAATTTAGTGTAGTATGTGACGTATTTAGCTATAAAACACGAATCATTAGAGATTTCTAATTCAAAAGCTGAGTTTTGTGTAATGTGTAATATTTCAATAAATATATACCTATAGATTAGTGATACATTATGTCTTAAGCTACCAGCTATCTGTTTTTGTCTTTTAGTTTCTATTGAAATTGGTTGGTTAATTTATATTAATATAGGTTATAGACTGATGGAATAATAAATACGACAATAAATTATAAATTACTCTGAACCACCGTTATCTTACTACACTACCTCAGCAGATCGACCGTGATCGGAACAATTAATATATTATTATACTGAATTGTGGAAATATTTCAATAGTCATACACTACCCAGCAGTTTTGGCTACTTGTCTGAAGACAGTGGTGGACCGGACATGTCTCGGTCCAATTTGGGTAGCTCGGAAACTATAACGATAGTCACTCATCATGTCTGTTTTTATTGAGATCGCGCATTCTGGTGATATTACTTCAGTTTACTTAGATGAATTATGGAACTTGAAAACGCAGAAAACTAGTAACCATCAAAAGTCAAAACTGAAAATGATGCTATGAAATATGTTGATTGCCTATTAGATACTAAATTAATTATATAAGTAATAGTAATTGATATTGACAAGCTAGTTAAAACACGGAATAACCAGAAGGATCACTAAATGAGAACTTGAAAATCGGTGAAAAGTTTACGGTATACCAGTGCAGCCAGAATCCGACCATAATTCAAAATTATTTTTTGATGCTGAAACTGATTCTACACATTTTTCATGTTATCGTTGTATAAAAACGTGATATGTAATTTATGATTAAATATTTATTATTTATCTATTAATTTCGGTGATAATCATAGACCTTAAACTAAGTATAACTCAGTAAAACTAAGGTCTATGGTGATATTTAATAAAATAAAATGATCTACTTTATTTATCGTACCAATAAGTAGTACAATAGTGATTATTAACTCTATACAGGATAGCCGCTATAGTGGCTACACTGATATACCAACAGGTATAGCAAGAAGTCTATCCTCCATAAGAACCCACGAAAAGCCACAGACCTTATTCTTAGGCTGGGGCTATACACCGTGGATTCCGCCGCGTTTCGTACGCCTCGTATCCCGCGGAGTTTTCCGTCAAATTCCAAATGTATTAGTTTATATCGGAGTAGGTATACACGACGGATGTAATACGCCGCGTTTTCATCCGCGGCGGAAAACGCCGGTCGGCTTGCGTTTTGGCGGTCGAACGCCTTAGTAATAAAAACGCTCGACGGATACGTTCTGTATAGCTCGTCCGTCGGAAAACTCTGCGGGATACGCGGCGTTCGAAACGCAGCGGAATTCGCCTTGTATGGCCCCGGCCTTATGGACGGAACGTGGTTGCAGTTCCGGCTTCCACCCGTGACGGCGCTGATCGAGGTACAGCAGAATAGATTAAAGTGCATCGTGCACCGCACATGCGCACTATATTATGACACAATAAACTATTTATTACTACTCGTATATACTTAGTATACTGTGCACTTTCTGGTTGTTCTGTAGTTAAAATAAAATTTATTGATACAAACTAATGAATAATGATAAGAATAACGGTTAAAGTTATTACCTCGAACCATATTAGAAATAAAAACTCCGATGATGAAATGACTTCATAAACTTATCAGTTATCATTAATGTATTTTACCCGAAAAATGTATTTTCCTGGTCAACTCTTTCTATTATTTCTTCCACCACTGGTTTTTAAAATGAAGGTGCTAATAACTTTTGTTTATTACCCTTGGTCATTAAATATGTTTCCCGTGCGGGTAAAGTCTAGTCAATCGGTATACTACTGTGAAAATTCAGTATACATCCAAAAGTGGTCCACCAATTAGTCCAACTGTCAGGCCTATGGGTACACTTCAAACCTCTGTAATTATAAGCAAAGGCGATAAGTACAGAAAGATCGATTTTCAGACTACGGTACTAAAAACAAAAAAAGCCCAGGCAAGTACCAATTTTGTGGGGTTGCTCACAAAATTCGAGGGAGGTTCAAAACGAAACTATAAATCTGTTTTCAAGAGCAGGAAAATAATAATTACCCAAACAACAGTAATCATAATAAAAAACACACTGTGTCCATTTTTAACTGTTCCCCTCTCTGGATCAAACAGTGATCAACATATTTATTTTACAAATGTGATTTATAGTGATTACTTTCAAGTAATTAAATTGTTAATTATTTATATCATTTAAAATCTACTTTCAGATTCAACTAAAATTGCTTCCGATTGTAATGATTTCAAAGAATCGATAATTCTAAAAATGAAACATAATTTTCGAAATTTTTTTCCGATTTTACTTAGTTAATTACCCTTCTATTTTCCCTTCTCACAGCTATATCATATACACGTATCCCCATAGTCCATATAATTATACCTATATCCCGGTACTTTTAACTATCAACATAAGCTAAAAAATCATTAATAAATACTTTATTATAGCACCTTTAAGCATTATCTTAAATTGAACTTGATGTTATAATTATATTATACTAATTACTCTGTTCAACTGAAATCAACAACATTTGTATGATGATAAATATGTACCTTGGAATCGAGTCTTTGTATCTATAAAATAGTTTACTTTTTGTGTTAGCAGATTGTAAATATTCCAAAATAAATTTTGAAAAAAATGTATTTTTTTATTGTTAAATAACGCCATGGTTAACACCATCATCGTATTTTAAGTGTTGGGTATGCTTGGGAGATCTTTACTATGCGGTCAAAATTGTGTTGTTTGTTTTAGAACAAAGTACCTACCCGAAATCCAGTTCAAATAATATACATTTCACAGTATAATATAGGCTTCTCTTTGTTTCAATGTTGACGTTTAAATGGAAAAAAGAAATAATAATAAACTCGACGACGAATAAAATAAAATACACCACTATCACACACACGCAGGTGGGTATATCCTGCATCGAAACAATCTGTTATCTTCCTGTCTATTTGTTGCGCCTTTATTGGATTTCGGCGTTCGCCCACAAACATAGGCCTTATAGAACTGTATCGTCGTATATGGGGATCGAGATGTACGCGTTGAAGGGGTTTCGTCCTGGTATACGGACGAGGCTTACGAGCTCTAAAAGATTTAGACCTATATATAGATGACAGCGGCGGTGGCGGCAGGTCAAAAGCTTTAGAAGAGGACCGAATGCGGTGGCAGAACATTATATTATACTGACCCACCTCTCTCTCCCATCAATTTCACAGAGTGCGCGTGTGGGTGTGTGCGATTGTGTGCGCGTGTGGAGAAGGATAGACAGTTCCAAATTGGTCTTGCCAGAAGGATGTTGTGGCAACCAAGACAAATCGCGCTCTCTTTCAGCGGTATATAACTACGCGTGAAGTCCACCCCCTCTTTCAAACGTTCTCATATATACACATAAGGCTACACACACACACACACACACACACACACACACACACACACACACACACACACACACACACACACACACACACGAGCACGCGCATAAGCGTAGGTACACCCCCGTACGAAATGAATCGCAGATTCCATTTGCTGGTCA